TGGGTGGTGGGGTAAGCCAGGGGGTTACCGTAAGAACCGAGTGCCGGACTGAATTTTCGTTTTAGTTGGGAAAGTGAACAAAACAATGAAGCAGGACAAATCACCTTACGAACGCAGAGATGACGCAACGAACCCATTATTGATCACCGCACGCATACGTTATGCGTCGCGGCACGGCGATTGGGGCGAACCAATAAGTTTTGGGCAAGGTGATCGAGGCGGGCTAAGGAGATACCAGTCAATCCTAGCTATTTGCTTGCACGCAGCGTTTCCTGTGGTTGGCTACGCCCCGTTCTCTGTCCGTGCGCGAGGAAGTACACGTCGTTCACCTGTCTGATGATGAGGTCGAATGTTTGCTAAACCGGCTAGGGGAGTTCTGCGTAACCCGACCAAACGCTCACAAAAATTGCCCACCTGGAGCTTGGTAACTCTGCACTCTTTACAAAGATTGCATACCTACTTGGAGCCCTAGCCAACAAGTTTTCTTAGTTGCCCAATTTGAGGTGCTACATTCAAAAGTTATTCATCGTACATAATCCATCAGAAATATCCATTCGGCTCTTCTCGCACTATTTTTCAATGAATACTCGTTGCTAATGCATCGTATGCATCGAACGTGCTTATAGGGCCGCATGTTTTGTCGCATCCGCTTGTTAATAACCGTCTTATCGCAGTACCTAGTATTTACTCGAATGCCTTTTTTTTCCAGCTTGTTCACGTCACGAGCCTGTAATTCATCATGAGAGTCGTGCTGGCTATGACATTCATAGCCATGATATTGGCAGACGATAAGTCGTTTTGCACATCGAAATGTGATGAAAAGTATCCTGAGGGAGAGCTGAGGGTGAGCTTCAATGCATTTCTTTGCACAAAACTCCCACGTTTTTGCACTTCCATCATTTACAATTCGACTTTCAAGCATATGCTTTGCATATCGATCGGTGGTCGTCTCCCAAAATTTACATTAAAGCATATTTCACAGCTTATAGATTGAAGAGATTTTACATAACATGACAAGGTATAGATGCGCTTGCATGACACCCTTTTTCACGCCTAGGAAATCTCACCGGCCATGAGGAGTCGCTCAGTGACATCCATGATATTCGCTTCCTGAAGGGATATTTTTCCTCCGATCTTCCTAGAGTTGTTCATGCCCCTCCGTCTTTTTTCCCAAGCTGTACCGGGGAAGAAACCTCAGGACGTCTTTCATAAATTTGAATGAAAGGTTACACAATGTACCCGAAGCTCTCATAAATCCAAATTCACAAAACTTCGGTTGTGCATAGGCCAGTAGTGTTTAGAATGTTGTTTGAAACATCTGTGCGTCTGGTCTATTCAGACATTTGAATTCGATCAATTTCAGGCTATACTGAAATTTAAAGTCAACCACCTGGTATCCCACGCTCCCACTCGTTATCGATTTTGTTGACGTTCCCTGGATAATGGGGACAGCAAAGTACAAAGCTGTGTGAAATGAAATGCTCCGAGAGATAGTGTGAATCCAGTGACGTTTTTTATATTCTGAGAATAGGATGACAATGACAAAGCGAGAGTTAGTATGCGTCTACGCTGTCAACACCCTTTCAAGATCATTGAATTTGAAAGCGCATTGGATCCATACGGTGGAGGCCACCGAACTTAGTAAACAAGTCACTGCTTCATCACCTTATCAGACGAGTCTACAGCTAATTAGTCCGCTCACTGTCTATCCTCCGCCTTTTTATTTTTACTTGTGCCTCGGATCAGATCTTGAGTCCTTTTGAGAATGTTCTTCCGTGTCAGAGGTTTTTTCATAGATAAGCGAGAGCCGTTTATAAGCGGCTCTTTGCAAGCCACTTAATACTTCCAGCCAGCCATATATTTTAAGAAATTTTCAAATCTAGGTCTTATGCATATTATGCATTTATGCATATTTTCCAAAAGATAGTAGATTCAAATATTTCATAACTTGTCAAAAGCAGAGAACAATGTTAATTGTTCTCATCCTCTATAAAATTATCTAATTGAGACCTACTCTCCTTATGAGCTTTCACTGTGAGTGGAAATTTTTTTCAAACCTGTCAAGGGAGATAGAATTATAGAATGCGTGCCATGTGGGTTGCGATGGGCGTGCTTCCATTTCTGCTGGACCTTTCGCATTCGTCGATTGTCAACGTGGCTGTGATAGCAAGTTCCTTGAGGATAACGAAACCAAATCGGAAACCCATTCAGCTTGCACCTATGCCTGCCTACTACCGATGACCAGCAGCGTTTTTGTGAGTCTATTTATTGCATTAGTAAATTTTCTGGTATTTTTCCTGTAGAAGATTTTTTTAGTAAATAACTTCCTACCATCGATTTCACCTTTCATATTTTTCATTTTTGGAACTTCTCTCGATCATATGCGAACAAATAGATTTCAAAATACTGGAACCTTAGATATGATCTCAATATTCAAATTCAGATGTCAGTGAAATACTCTGATGATGGGAAGCCTGACGTCAAAATAGTCCGCAATAACAATGGTTTCACCTCAGTAGAACGCCCTGCACTCGCAGGCGTATCTGATCTGGACAGATTCATTGCCAATGTCTTTGGAGATCTGAATCGTCAGATTCTTTCTGTAGAGAATCCTATGAAAGTGGTCTCCGAGTCACAGAATGAACATCCCACATCAGATGATGAGAGGTTGGAGCCTAATAATTTTCTGGTCCCGAGACATTCAAGAAGTTAATCAACTTTTCAGCAGTCCTGATTTGTTTGGAACAGCACGCGCTCGTATGGCGGCAATGCACAACCGAATGAATGAAATGTTGGCTGCATTTTCACGACAATTTTTCGAAGGTATTAGACGTAATATGCAGCACCAGGGTCATGTAGCTCTTCATAGACCGGCAGAGCATGACGCTTATGCTCATATCGGTAAGTATAAATCACAGGTCAAAAGGATCTTCTGTTACTAGGAACAGTGAAGTTCAGCAGTTGCTCTTGAACTTTTTATAATTTTGCTATCACCAGGACCTGAAATCGGCAACATTCTATCGAATGGGGAGCCGATGCTTCTTACTCATCCTACGGACGGTGATGATGGGAACGATTCTAATGAGCGATCAATCAAAGGTTCAGAGGTATAAATTATACTGAGCGAAAAGATATTCTCATTTTTCAGTAGTTCGTTATCAGATGTCCTCTAACCACCCTCCATCAGTCTTCTACTGGATAATGATAGTGTTCGGAGTTGGAGCTCTGCTACTAACCCTCTACGCGTCTGTCATCTTCTTCCGTGTCATGCGTTCAGCGGCTTACAGAAGGATTTCGGTACTACTTTCATCAATTATTCTCCCAAGAAACTCTCGAAAAACTGAAGGTGCGATCACAAACGTTTTCGATTTAGACTGATGTTATGGCCGGTCGATGTCCAGTTGCTCCTTCCGGTCCAGGTCCTATTCCTGTGAAGAAGGTGCCCCTTGACGGCTGGGTTGAGCGTAGTGAGCCATCTGGTGTTCCTCCTCCGGCATATGATCAAGTTTGTTCAAGCTATTGAATTTGATAGCTTTACCTCCATCTTCTCTCAAATTTCGCTTGCTAGACATATTATGTAGCTCTTATTTACACAATAATTTTTCTCAACGCGTTTGAGCTCTGAGTTACTTATTTTAGGTATCGATTCATTCAATTCAAAAGCAGAAACCGTCTGATACTACTCAGCAGCCTCATGCAACTCATCCCGAATCGAGCAGTCCATCAAGCGATCAGAAATAACTTCGCTGCATAATGTTCTCTAATGCAAATTTTACTGATTCCTTTTACATAAGGATTGAATATACTTACGAATAATTCGTGTCGCTTGACTTCTCTCTGTTGTAGTGCTTGTTGTGATTCCTGATACATTCTGGTGTGTGTGGTTGGTTAAGTTTCCGCTTCTGTTGCAATTGGATGAAAAGCAACGGAACAATATTTGTGAATACTGTTCATTTAGTTGTGTAAACTTGAGTCATAATATTAGATATCCTCTGAAACGGTTGTATTGGTACATGTATAAATATTGCAATTCTTTTCTGTTCAGTATAACAATAACAGCTTGGTTACTGTTAGATACTTTGGGTTATAGTAACTATTCTAATTAGAGTTGCTACCTACTGAAGACTCTATCTCGATTATTTTGTAAATGAACTATTTCTTAACAAAGTCATGTGACCTTTGTGTTAATTTCTCCGGTCAGTGAAGTTACTCTAATATTCACTTACACATAGGATGAGTAAAATGAAGCTTCTCGATTCTGATGATGACGAGGACGTTGAGGGGACATCCAATTCGTTGGAAATAAACAAAAATTATGCAGAGCGTTACGAGAATTGGAGAAGATTAGAGGAGCTACAGAAAAGTGTGTTTGTGTTTTTTTCCTTGTGAGAACTGACAGGTGTACCACTCCCAAAAGCTGGCGTGATTACTCTGGAAAGCTTTTCAGTCAAGGATAAGTATGGCGATAATCTTGAAGAGTCGTCGTCGAGTGAAGAAGAGATGGTGAGCTTAAGGCTGCTCAATCACAGCGGGCTCTCAAATTTTCCTTCAGGAATGGAGCGCTGCAGATGAAATGCAGTTCTTGCGAACGCTCAGCGCCTTGAAGGACAACGATAATGCCATTTATGATGAAAAATCTTCTTTCTGGCAAAGTGACGATAAAGAAGAAGCAGGTTCTCGGAAGAAGCTAAAAAAGAAGGACTCGAAGGAGAAGCCTATGTATCTGAAAGACTACGAACGGAAATTAATCCTGGAAAAGGGAGGGTGAGAGCTGATTCGCTTCCTCCTTTGAGTTTATTCGATTTTTTCGAAGTCTACTTCACCAAATTATCGGCTGTGGTAAACTACAAGAATCTTGTTTCCTCACAGCATCACCTCCGCCTCCTTCCTAATCACAAATTATGTCCAGACAAATTGATGAGAGCGATGAGGAAGACGGTGCCAAAAGCTCGAATTACTTTGAACAGCAGGAGCAGATAAGGAAAGAGTGAGTTACTGCTGTTCATGTAAAAAAGTAGAAACTTAACAACGTATTTTTTCTTAGACTCCGCCGCGTAATTGAAAGTCATGAGGGTGGCAGTGACTCCGAAGACTCAGACGGACTGCTTGTTCCTAAAGTGAAAACTAAGGAGGAAAAGGTTCTGCTGAATTTTTTTTTCTTTTTTTTCGGGGTCGAGCGATATTTCCTGATCTCTGTGTTTCTAAGGAAGCTGAAGACAACGAGTTCTATGCATGGATGAAAACGCAGGATTCAAAAGATGTTAGTGAAGATGACTGTTTGAAAGGTCTTAAAAAGGTAATAATTCTTGATGAACGATTCTTTTTTTTTTGAACCACTGCGAAATGACTTACTTAGTTATTGGAATTTTCGTAAACTAGTTTTAGGCCTGGAAGGACCCTAATATAGACGAAGGAGAGAAATTTTTGCGTGATTATATTTTGAATAAGGATTTTATTCCTGATGTAGAGGACAAGTAAGATCTTTTTTAATAGCCTTTCATTCTGTATTTCACCCTTTAAAATTTGACTTGGAGTCGATCATATTCAGAGGAGTCACTGTCGACGACATACAAGAGATAGAGGAAGATGAAAAGATGCTCGAAATGCAGCGAAATTTTGAACACAAATACAACTTCCGTTTTGAAGAGCCTGATCAGGAGTTTGTACGTGTGATTCTCAACATACAGCAAGTCTCAAATTTCAGTGGCAGTAATGCCTGGATTTAGATCAAACAGTATCCCAGAACAGTGGGCGATTCTCTAAGGCAGAGCAATTCGAAGAGAAAGGAGAAAAGAGAGGAGTACAAAGAGAGGAAGGAAAGGGAAAAGAATGAGCGGAGGCAGGTATGTGGATAGGATTGAAGGTTCTGTGTTTTTATGTTTCTGCCTTTTCTACTACATCCTTTCAAGGAAATACGCGAACTGAAGAAGATGAAAAAGGCTGAAATTGAGAAAAAGTTGGAGAGGCTGAAAAAGATGGCTGGAGACGACATTTCCATAAATGTTGATGATCTCACTTGTGATTTTGATCCTCGAGAGTACGATAGAAGAATGGAGGTCTGTTACTACATCTCTCTTTTGTATGTTGTTCTTCTTTGCAGACTACTCCATACCTGGGATTCATTTTAGCAAATTTTCAATGAAGAGTATTACGGTAAAGATGACTCAATTGGCGATCAGGACACGGAGAAACCCGTCTTCAGCGACATTGATGTTTGTTTTTGTAATCTTCACTTATTTGTAATCGCACACGTTGCCTCCAATATTAAGTTGCCAATGTACATATTTAGAGTGATGTTGACAGCGATAGTAGCGATTACGACAAGTTTCCTATAGCAACAGCATCCGAAGAGAGTTCGTCGCTAAAGAACGCTGATGAAAATGATGGTAACAATGACGAGGAAGCGAGGGGCAGCGGGAAACGTATGTAGTAGTTGTGTTGTAAGCCCTTAGTTCCCACTTTTTTAAATCCTAAAGAATTTTGCAGAATCTCGACGTAAAATGAAGCGTAACAGCAAGTTCCGAGAAGCTGTCCGGAGGAAAAAACCGCTCTTCGATCCCAAGGAAAAAACCTTCGAAGAATATTTCAATGAGTACTATGCTCTTGATTATGAAGATATAATCGGTAAGAAGCCATTGAAACATTCGTTATACCTCAGTGAATTGCAGATTTGGCGTTTATCTTTTTTTGTTTTTTTTTTTGCCATACACCTTTTAATGTATAGGTTTTCTGTA